CTGCTTACATGAAGAAGAAGAACCAGAAAACATGCATGTTCTCATCTGTAATGGGATATGGCCTAGTACTCCCAGGATTTATTCAATCAGCCGGAGTGGAACTCGGGAATCCCTCTCCGGTTGACCATACGAAGTCAATCTTCCTTACTGCATCCCCCAAAATGAATGTGGCCATCACGGCAGAGATGACAAGGGAAGAACGACTAGAACAAAAGAGGGAGAAATAGGCTGCTAAGCTTAAGGCTGCTCTCAAGAAGGTCACCAAGAAGCCCAATGTGACTTCTGATCAACCTAAGTAGACAAAGGTTGAAAAGGCGATAAGGAAGAAAACCGTTAATGAAAAGAAGGCCACACCAGAGAAGGATGCACCAGAGGAGGTTGCATCGGAGATGGTCTCTCTTAAGATAGCCAGAAAATCTCCTGCTAAGAAGCAAAAGCTGAAGAAGAAAAGGAATATGATTGTTCAGAGCGATGACTCTGATGGTTCAGAACCCCAACCTATCAAGAAGAAGAAAACCAAGAGGAACTCTGCTAAGGGTCCTCAAACTCAGAGGGAACCAGAATCAGAACCACAACCCACCTATGCATCAGAAGTACCTCTGGTGGTTTCCCCTTCAGAACACCAATCTCTATCAGAGAAAGCAATCCAGACAGACTTCACCTCTGCTCTGGATAAGCAATTTGAGCATGTGCTAACCTGGAGAAGCTAGAGAATGGGGCCACCCTAGAAGATCATCCAGTACTTCGATCATTATGAGTCAGAGGAAGTTGAAGTCCTCAACTGGGTAGGTACTGATGATGTGTCCAAGTGCTTTGCCCTAAACTTTCTTGCATCTGTTCTCGAGAAGAAGAAAGCCAATTATAAAGGGAAAGTTGTTCTGAGCTCTAGTCCAACAGAAGAACCTGTCAAACCTCTTGCAGATAATGAGATTGATGACTTCGAAACTTGGATGTTTGCCAAGAAAGCTAAGGAGTCGGCTGATCCCAACATCATACCTGGTGAACCTTCTGTACCAAAGACTGAAGGATTAGCCATGCTAAAGCTAATCAAGGAATGGAGAGCTACTCTGATAAAAGAAGTTGAACTTGAACATGAGGTAATTCCTTCTTCCATTCCTTCACCACACAAATCACCTTCTGTACACACAGCCCCCTCCCCTAAAAATACCACACCTTACTCTACACCTCCCCAATCACCCCATAAACAGAACACCCCATCATCACCTCATCAGAAATCACCATCCCCACACAAGAGAACCCCCTCCAATAAAAAATCATCCTCACCCAACAAATCCTTATCTCCCTCACCTTGTAAGCAGATAACCCCTACCAGAAACCGTTCCCTTCTCCTCCCCTGTCTCCTTAACAACAGAACACCCCTTCACACCAGAGCTCCTCCCACCAGAAACCCAGATCTGCTACACCTTCTCACCAGAAGTCACCCTCCAAGGATGCCACGCCACAGAGATCCTCCTACCACTCTGTAGCATCTACACCAAATAAGCAGCCCCTTTTTTGTGTTCTCTCCTCAGATGGCGACAATGATGGCTTCCTGACCTCATCTATTGTTGGACACTTCACCTCAAGTGTACTGCTTTTAGGTAAACGACGACGACGACGACGATGATGATGATGATATTTTTTTGTGGAAAGTGAAATTACATTTTAGGATTTTATGCGGAGAATGCTTAGGCGAGAAATTTGTCTCTCTCTAGTGTAGTGCTTTTAGGTATAGGATGACGATGATGATGATGATGATATTTTTTTGTGGAAAGTGAAATTACATTTTAGGATTTTATGCGGAGAATGCTTAGGCGGGAAATTTTTCTCTCTCTAGTGTAGTGCTTTTAGGTATAGGATAGGAGGATGATGATTTTTTTTTGCGGAAAGTGAAATTACTTTTTAGATTTTAGGCGGAGAATGCTTAGGCGTTTCTCTCTCTAGTGTAGTGCTTTTAGGTATATATATAGGAGGATGATTTTAAGTATATATATACTTAGGCGGGAGAATTTTCTCTCTCCAGTGTTGTGATTTTAGGTATAGGATATGCGGAGAATGCTTAGGCGGGAGAATTCTCTTTCCAGTGTAGTGCTTTTAGGTATAAGATAAGAAGATGATGATTTTTTTTTTGCGAAAAGTGAAATTACATTTTAGGATTTTAGGCGGAGAATATTTAGGTGGGAGAATTTTTCTATCTCCACCGTAGTGCTTTCAGGTATAGGATAGGATAGGATAGACGGAGAATGCTTAGGCGGGAGAATTTTCTCTCTCTAATGTAGTGCTTTTAGGTAGATGATGATGATGATGATGATGATGATGATTTTTGTGGAAAGTGAAATTACATTTTAGGATTTTAGGTGGAGAATGCTTAGGCGGAAAATTTTTCTCTCTCCAGTGTAGTGCTTTTAGGTATAGGATTAGGTATAGGATGATGAGTTTTTTTTTCCGTAAAATGAAATTACATTTTAGGATTTTAGTCAAAGAATGCTTAGGCGGGATAATTTTCTCTCTCTAGTGTAGTGCTTTTAGGTATAGAATGACATTACATTTTAGGATTTTAGGGTTATAGGATGATGATTTTTTTGGTGGAAAGTGTAATTACTTTTTTGGATTTTAGGCGGAAAATGCTTAGGCGGGAGAATTTTCGTTCTCCAGGCACGGATGCGGTCCGGGTCGTGACAGATCTGAAAATCATACATAACAGGTTGTCCATTCGCCCTAATGCAAAGCCGGTACAGAAGAAGAAGTGGTACATTACGGCCGAGCGGCGAGACTTCATCAAGGTGGGGTCACCACTTTACTCAACATTCGCCACATCCGCCTGATCATTCACGTGGAGTGGTTGTCTAACGTTGTCTTAGCCTCGAAGGGCCTGACCTGACGCATGTGTGTGGGCTATCGGATGTGAGTAAGGGCTGCCCAATGGATCCTTACCCAGTTCCGAGGATAGACCTTCTGGTGGATGAGACCGACAGGTGCGAGCTGCTCATATTCATGGATGCATTCTCGGGCTACCACCAGATCTTCATGTACCCGAATGATGCAAGGAAGACCACATTCGTCACCTCAAACGGCGTGCACTACTGCATTGTCATGTCGTTCGGGTTGAGGAATGTGATGACTACCTTTCAAAGAATGATCGGGATATTGTTCAAGGAATTGCTCGATCGGGGTCATCATGGAGGCTTACATGAATGATATCCTAATTTAAAATCAGGAAAAGGAAGACCATGTCCAGGACATGGATAGGGTGTTTCGCATAATGGAGGGGGGGGGGGGGGGGGGCAACATGCGACTGAAACCAGAAAAATGTGCATTCACCGTCAAGGGCGACGATAATTTAGGGAAGGAGATTAGTCGAAACTAACCTAGAGAAGGAGACGAAGCGGTAAGACAAATGTGAAGCCCAATGAGAAGAGGTAGATCGTAGACGGAGGAAAATAATGAAGCCCAATGAGCTTGAATATATATTGGAAAATTACCCAAAATAGGAGCAAATGACACTTGGAATTCCAAAAATAGGACTAATATGTTTTTCTTCTCGAAATAGGAGTTAGTACTGTCATGTATGAAAAACACTGTCATGATTAAAAAATACTGTCATTATTATAATAAATGCTGTCATGTTAAATGCACTGTACTACAACTATTTGGCAGTCACGGCTACAAGATGACAGTAAATACTGCCATGTTAGTCACATTTCGGGAATAAAAACAAGGTAGTCCTATTTTGGAATTTCAAACTTCATTTACTCCTTTTGTGGGAAACCTCCCATATATATTTTAAATAATAAAAAATTAAAGTTTATCCAACACCTCAATACACCCCAAATTGAGGTCTCAAAAAGTGTCAAGTTAAAGGTGTTGGAAAGGTCATGGTTGACACCTCCGAAACTTTACCAACACCTAGATTCTTTTTTTAATCTCTATGCCAAACAAGTGTTAAAGTCTACACTAATTAACACTTTCATTACTAACACCCTTGAACACCCCAATCAAGCAGGAAGTTAAAAATGTTGTCTTTAACCTTGGAAAGGACACCCCCTAGAATAGACACGTTTGATGATACCTTATACCATTATTAGTGCTATGGTTTTATTGCTTATGTAAAAATAATACGGAGTATTATATATTGTCTATAGAAAAGAAAGTGAACAAATTTTATTTTTAAAATATATTTTCATTTATTTCTTCTTAGTTATTAGTTATTTAACTCTTTCCACTAACACTAGGATGTGAGGAGTAATTTTTATTTGATTTTTTCTATACACAAGTGTGTGTGTGGCATTTATTTAAAAAAGGGATGCATATTTTTTTCTTAATAAAAATATTTTTGAATAAAAACAGATACTAGAATTACGATAAGATATTATTCTACGCCCTCGGACTTTTTGAGGGAAAGGGACATGGCGAAAAATTGTGAATGCTAAATGGTAGTGTCAAGATAATTTATAGTGTGTTCGATAACATATATTTCCGGCAAATAAGGTTTATTAGTGATTTTTTATCAAACACATAATTTCTTATTTCGCGCTCTGAATTGTATAATAATCAAAATATGTAAGGTTAAAATTATTTTTCTGTTGGGATTGATATAAGTTACTACATACAATCATTCTAGCTATTTTTTATACGGAGTATAATTTTATCAACATTTTTTTTATATAAATTTCATTTGTTTGTCCAATTTAAGTATTACGAAACATATTCTTAGAGCCCGTTTGACGACTATGTTTTCTGAATTATCATGTTTATCGGTCAATCTATTCATCAAACACGTATCTTTTGATTTCGCGCGTTGAATTATATAGAGTATAATAATAATAAAAAGTAAAGTTGAATTTACTTTTCTGATTGTAATTAACGATAACCTTATACCTATTCAACCGGTTTTGGTTAATGTTCATCCGACCATAGGAAGCTACAGGATCCCGTGCGCTACCTAATACGCGTGTCACTCTAGCACTATCCCAACCCTACCTGTATCCATCTATATTTAGGTGAGAAAACGATATTTCTCACTCTCACTCTGTAACTGCGCCGTCTCCCTCTCTAAATTTCGTTTTCTCTCTTGCGCCGTTGACACAGTTTAGGGTTTGGGGCCTTAGATCTCATCTCGTTACGCCCTCCCAGTTTCAGGTACTTTGCCTCTAATCTAGCTGTTTTTTTTTGTTTTGTTTTGATTGCAGGCTTGAAAAAACACCCCATTGGTCTTGATTTGGCTTTTCATTTCCAACATTGGTTTTATAGCTGTACCTTATGTATTCCGAGTTTTCCCATTTATTTTTCCACGCTCCTTTGTTCTTTACGGAACAATACTCTTATGATGTAAAGTTTGCATTTACAAGTTTTTTTGGCTTGGGTGTTTTGTGCTTGCATGTGTACTTTCTTGAGAATAATTTGTGTTTTGGTCCCTCAAAATGAGACTCCATGCCTTTTTTGCCAGAACAGGGGTAATCCTGAATGAAGAATCCCAATTTTTATGTTTCTTTAGAGTTTAGAGTTATATATATACGGAGTATTATATATATATACATATGCTAAGTCAAACATAATTACGGAATAGTTCTTCAAAAATAAGATTATGCATGAAGTTTTATCTAACTTGTGGTGGTTTTACCTTTTTTGGTCACTGTAATGGTTTGACTTTCTCTCTCTTATTTTTATTTTTTGTTTTTATTTGTGGGCTTTTTTTGTAAAGATTTTTTTCTTTGCCATGTGAACATGGCCGGCTTTTATGCCTATTTGCTAGAGCAGTGCATGTGAGTGAAACTTAGTTATCTCATGAAGAAGTGTTTACGCATGTATCTCTTTTAGTCGTAACTGATATAATATGTCCAACTATCGTTTCTAAAGATTCTTCAGATGTCTGAGGAAGGCATCACGAATGGCGCTTCAGATCATCTGCCCCCTCCTCCACCCGTTCCAGAAGATTTTACTCCTGCGAAGGTGGAAGTCGAGCCGGTCAAGAAGAAGTCAAACCGTCTTCCAATGGCTAGGCGGGGATTTGGCAGCAAGGGCCAAAGAATCCCAATTCTCACCAATCATTTTAAAGTGAACTTGGCCAGAGTTGACGGGGATTTCTATCAGTACAGTGTATGTTCTCAATATTTTTTAATCTACTTTCATTCCAATCGTATCAGTTGCATTAATGAATAATTCTTTGGTTTTTCCCAGGTTGCCCTGCTTTATGAAGATGGTAGCCCGGTGGATGGAAAAGGCATTGGTAGGAAAGTCCTTGACAGAGTGCATGAGACGTACGACACAGAGTTGGCTGGACGACACTTTGCTTATGATGGTGAGAAAAGCTTGTTCACTGTTGGTGCTCTTCCAAGAAACAAGCTTGAGTTCACTGTGGTTCTTGAGGATGTTACCTCTAACAGGTTGGCCTCTACTTATCAGACACTTCGCTTACAGTAGTTGTTGACATTTTTTTGCCAATAAATATCTTGTATTGATAAAATAAAGAAGGAAACATATGAAGATGGGTGAAATGGATCAAAACACTCTGTGAATGTTAACTATTCTATTGCTTTGTGTAGGAACAATGGGAACCGCAGTCCTGAAGATACCAATGACAGTGACAAGAAGAGGCTGAGGCGTCCTTACCATTCGAAGACCTACAAGGTTGAGATTAGCTTTGCTACCAAGATCCCTATGCAGGCTATTGCCAATGCTTTACGTGGTCAAGAATCAGAGAACTCTCAAGAAGCTTTAAGGGTTTTGGATATCATCCTGAGACAACATGCTGCCAAGCAGTAAGTTTAGGAATATTCTGTGTTTATTCTGATGCTTTATAGTTGATGGTAATTTATTCATAAACCTCTGTTACTTCCAATCTCAGGGGATGCCTGCTCGTGAGGCAATCGTTCTTCCACAACGACCCAAAGAACTTTGCTGATGTTGGAGGCGGTGTTCTTGGATGCAGAGGGTTTCATTCCAGTTTTAGGACTGTACAAGATGGATTGTCTCTGAACATCGGTAACATTTTGCGAAACAAGTCAATTTTTGCAGTTAACTCAATAATTGAGTTTCATGATTTGTTTTTATGTGCTGTAAATGCAGATGTGTCTACTACAATGATTATTCAACCTGGCCCAGTTGTTGATTTCTTGATTGCCAATCAAAACGTAAAGGATCCCTTTAGCCTTGACTGGGCTAAGGTAAAGTCAATCTGGACTCCACTAGTGTGTTTACTAATTGCAGTGAAAGTAACATTATTTTGCAAATAGTAATTTTTTTTACCAAATCAGGCCAAAAGAACTCTGAAAAATTTGAGGGTGAAGACGAGTCCTACAAATCAAGAGTACAAAATAACTGGTTTGAGTGAGAAGAACTGCAGGGAGCAGTTGTACGTTTTTTGTTCTCTTTCACTTACTTATTTGCCCATTTATCGGATTAATTCAATCTTCTTTGAGTATTGAAAAAATGAGTGTTCTCTTAGCCATACTTTTGGTGCTTCTTAGATTTTCTTTGAAGCAAAAGAGTAAAGATAATGATGGTGGTGAACTTCAAGCTACAGAAGTTACAGTATATGATTACTTTGTCAATCACCGGAACATAGACCTGCGTTATTCAGCTGAACTACCGTGTATCAATGTTGGAAAGCCAAAACGCCCAACATACTTCCCCATTGAGGTAATAATAATTAATCTACTATTTGATAATTTATAATAGCATTAAATACTATAAAGACTATTATTACAATTTCAGCTGTGTACTTTGGTGTCATTGCAACGTTACACCAAAGCTTTGAATACCTTCCAAAGGTCTTCCTTAGTGGAGAAATCAAGACAGAAGCCTCAAGAGAGGATGCAAGTATTGAGCAACGTATGTATCCATTATCCTGCATTCCTACTTCAATGCTATGTTTGGATGTTGATTTTTAGAGGCTAAGAGTTGGGGTGTTTATTCTTTATATTTTAGATTAAGCGAGTTATATATAATTCATGGTAATAATATGTTGTTTATACTAATTTATCCATTTTTTAATCTTTTATTTTGGAAATATCAAATGAAAGTATTTTTTTCTGTATGGTCCATAGCACTTCACCTCTACTACCTTCCTAACAAGTCCTAAAGGAATGCACACTGATTTCATGCTTCTGATTGGTGATGGTCTTAACAGGCACTGAAAATCAATAACTATGATGCTGAGCCACTTCTTCGCTCGTGTGGTGTATCCATTGGTAGTAACTTCACTCAGGTTGAGGGACGTGTTCTGCCGTCTCCAAAGGTTAATTTTTACGCTTCTGCAAGTTCTGTTGACAACTGCAACAACATCCAAATAGAGTTGTTTTATACTTTGTTCTGCTTTCTCTTTGGTGGAAGTGACTTGTTTAAGTTTGTATCTGTGCAGTTGAAAGTTGGAAATGGGGAAGATTTCTTCCCTCGTAATGGGAGGTGGAACTTTAATAACAAGGTATGATTAGCGTGTTGTAGTAATTATTACTACTGGACAAAGTGGTCTATTTTCATAATTTACAATTTTGGTTCTTTTTCAAACATGATCAATGAAACACTTCAAATGGCATTTTTTTCGGGATATATGGGGAGCAAATACATTAGATTATTAAATTATGTATCCAGCTAATTTGAATTCCAATTTTTTTTTGTTGTATAGAAACTTGTCGATCCCTGCAAGATTGAACGTTGGGCTGTTGTCAACTTTTCTGCACGCTGTGACATCCGTGGGCTTGTCAGCAATCTGATAAAATGTGGAGAATTGAAAGGAATTGTATGTTTTACCTTGTTAGGATTTGTGGAATTATTATTTGTGTATTCCTTTTATTGAACCTTTTTATTTGCGTTGAAGGCCGTTGAAGCCCCTTTTGATGTGTTTGAAGAAAGTGCTCAGTTCAGAAGGGCCCCACCAATGGTCAGAGTAGAAAAAATGTTTGAATTGGTCCAATCCAAGCTTCCGGGGGCACCCAAGTTCCTGCTTTGTATTCTTCCAGAAAGAAAGAATTGTGACATCTATGGTTTGGTTTATTTTAAGCAATTCTCCCTAGTCATCATTCTAATTCAACTACTGTAGGGTATTGATATTGTATTCGTCTCCTTCTATCTTTTTAAGGGCCATGGAAAAGAAAGAATCTTGCTGAGTATGGTATAGTGACTCAATGCATCGCACCCACCAGAGTGAACGATCAGTATATAACAAATGTTCTGCTCAAGATAAATGCCAAGGTCAGTCTTGGGGATATTATTTGCTGACTTTATTAACCTCCATCTTAAAGTGATAATAAAGATACAATTTATAGATGGAGGTGTTGGAAATTCACAAAGAGCTTTATCACGATTATTAAATTTATGCCTTGTTTTTTCAAATTTAGTTTTAAATAACTTGCATATCTATCTAAAAAAGATATTCTAATATTAGTAATATGGGTAAATACATGTGTGTGTGTGCCTGTGTAAGTTGACTCACGTTGGGGGATGTGTGGTGTGATTTCGTAAGTTATCTCATTGAATTGTATACAACAAAAAGTGAAATTTCAAATGCTTCTATTTACCCCCCCCTCTAACGCTTCAGGTTTTATTTCTATAATAATATCTTAGTTGTACTATTATACTGTTACCAGCTTGGTGGATTAAATTCAATGTTACTTTCTGAGCATTCTCCTTCTATCCCTGCGGTGTCTAAAGTTCCCACTATTATAATTGGAATGGATGTGTCACATGGCTCTCCTGGTCAGACAGATATCCCTTCAATAGCTGCGGTAAATAGTCTGAATTCCCAAGTAATATGTTCTTGATCAGTTTTTACTGTTGTGTTTGGTTTTTATTATCAAGTATAAACCCTGTTCTTGCTCAACTGTCACAGGTTGTTAGCTCTAGGCAGTGGCCTTCAGTTTCTCGCTATAGGGCATCAGTCCGCACACAATCAGCGAAGGTTGAAATGATTGATAACTTGTTTAAACCTGTTGATTCTGAAGATGAAGGCATTATGAGGTTGGTTATTTGTCTAAGCATATCTTTTTTTATCTTGATTGAAGGCCTTTTTTTAGTTGCATATATTTCGATTGAAAAGGTAAATTGTAATTTCATGTATTTCTATTTTCAGGGAGCTTCTGCTTGACTTTTATGTTAGTTCTGGTAAAAGGAAGCCCGATCAGATTATAATCTTCAGGTATGCTGGGCAGCCCGAATCGATGTGTAAAAAGTGCATTTGGGATTACTTTATTAACTTAAAACATTGATTTGCAGGGATGGTGTCAGTGAATCCCAATTCAATCAAGTATTGAATGTCGAGCTTGATCAGATCATTGAGGTGACAAATCTCTCCCAGCCTCAATCTCTAAAAATCTCAAGTTTACCCGTCTGTGAAAATTCACATTCAGATTTAAATGTAGGCTTGCAAATTTCTAGATGAGAAATGGAATCCCAAGTTTACTGTCATTGTTGCTCAGAAGAACCATCATACAAAGTTCTTTCAGCCCGGGGCTCCTGAAAACGTTCCACCAGGTAAAGATATTATTCACATTTTACGGTGAAACGTAGGGTTTTGAATGGGAGTTGAAGTCAATCTTATACAGAGCAATATATATATATATATATATATATATTTGTGGTTTACAGGTACAATTATAGACAACAAGGTTTGCCATCCTAGGAACAATGACTTCTACTTGTGCGCCCATGCAGGAATGATAGTACGCTTTCTTTCACTTTAGCTTGACAATTTTTGCTTCAACTTTGCATGGGTGTGTTTGGTTGTGTGGGTTATGGAATCAAGTGTTTTTTATATATCTTGAAAAAGTGGATTATTTTGAAAATGAATAATGGATAAATGAAGTGCTAAGTTGACCACCTATTTTGTTATTCATTCAAATTTCATAGAACCTAAATTATATCAAGATAAACTCAGATTTCCCACCAAGTGTTTTTTCACACTCAGATTTCCTTCTCACTTCCATTTGCCTCAGGAGTACAGTTCCACTAATAAAAATAGGTAGCCCTATTTTATGATGCCAGACTTATTTTTGGCAAAGTTCCCGTGCCTATACATTTCTAAAGTTTGGCACACAGTTTTGTAGCCTTGTTCTCTGAAGGTATAAAAGTTTGTTTAGAATCTCAAGACTCATGGCTGCGGATCAACATATTGCCTTCTCTTATCTGTTTTTTATTTTTATTTTGATAAGTAAATTGCAATCCATAATGTGTAGGGCACCACACGGCCAACACATTACCATGTTCTCATGGATGATGTGGGTTTCTCTGCTGATGAACTTCAAGAACTCGTCCACAGCTTATCATACGTGTAAGTGAATTTAGGAGATTAATTCCCAGAAAGTTACAAATCAAAATTTGCAAAGTCTCTCTTGTCTAAGCTATTATGTCTTCTTATAACAGGTACCAACGAAGCACAACTGCCATCTCCATTGGTAATTCACTTGCATTTTCATTCACTTGTCTATTAACGACAATATTGTAATTATTATTTTGTTTTTTATCTTTATTATAATTGTAATGATTAGAAGACTGAATTTTGATCATTATAGTTGATTTTGTTTTTTGTTCGACTGTGGCAGTTGCTCCTATATGCTATGCACATCTAGCTGCCACTCAGTTGGGACAATGGATGAAATTTGGGGACTCATCTGACACCTCATCAAGGGATGGTGGTGCGAAAACTGCAGCTCCGGTCCCACAGTTGCCAAAGCTGGAGGACAAAGTGTCCAGTTCCATGTTCTTCTGTTAAGTAGTAGCTTGAATGGGGTGTGGTGGGGGCGGGGGTTGTATATATAAGTAGTAGACAGTATCTCGATCTTTATAATGCCAGTCTTGGGTGCTGCTGCTGGCTAAGACTCGCTTTTTTTTCTCTTTTGGGTTCTCCTGTGCAACAAATTTGTTTTGAGACTTGTTTTGCTACTGCTGCTTTTGTAGCACGGGGAAGTTATCCATCCAAACATTATGGCGACTGTTTAGAAGTTATCTGTTTTCAGGTAATGAGTAACCCCCACTCAACATTGTCATTTTACTTTTTTTTTCACTTGGTGCTCTCAAAATTCTTGGACATCGAAACCAACAACTGTCTAACCAAACCTGATCAAACTATTAAATTCACTAATTTAGTTTAGTCACTAGAATTTGATCTATGTCCTTTCTTTCTTGCTTCTTCACTATTTTTTTAAATTTGTTTTACATATGTTTGAAACTTAACTTTTGAAGTTTGAATAACGTTGAATGTTTTATATGGCACAAATTTAATTGTTATTTGTAAGATAGAATATTAAACAGTGTATTTAGAATGTTTTTATATGGCACAAATAACTGAACCGTTATTAAAAGTTGGAGATTCTTTAAATGGTATCATGCTTAAATTCCTACGTCCTACCCGTGCTTTCTGAATTCTAATGTCATCTGATCTATTGTCGTGACCCCAAAATGTGCTTCCACCACATCTTCAGCTCTTTTTGAGGCACCAGCTCTGCGTCATGCCCCATGTGCATTAACTTCACAAACTAAGCATTTTGTGTTTGCACCTTGTTCACCACGGTGAACAGTAGGTTTAGGTCACCCCTTCTCATTTTAGGTGTTGAGAGTTTTTGTTTTTATTTTTAATGGCTATGATGAAAAAACTTGCAATCGGCCCTGTAACTTGCCGGTTGTCTCTTTGATAATTTGATGTAGACTTGGACTCGGGCTAGGGATGGACTGGGCCGGGCCAAACCGGCCCGGAACCGAACCGGCCCGCTACTGTGCGGGCCGGGACTGGACCGGGACCGGTTGGCCGGTTTCGGGCTTTTAGCCCGTTTGGGCGGGTCGGGTGGGCCGGGCTTGGGCCCAGTTTTGGCGAACCGGCCTGGGCGGTTCGGGCCGGGCTCAGATCTTTTTTTTTTTGTTTTTCAATTTTTTTTCTTTTCCTAAGTTAGGGCGGGGTGTTTTGGGGAGGTTTGGGGGTGGGTTGAGGGGGGGGGGGGGGTCGGGAGATAACAAGAAAGCAAAAAAAAGACATTGACTATTGTGGTAGCATATAAGCATCTCAAGAGATTCTGCGCTCAACCTCGTTCTACATTGCGTGAGGACATTGCCGACCGAACTAAATTCTTGTTCGATGACAATTGTTGAAAACGGCATTGATAGCACATGCTTAGCCATCTTTGCTAAATTAACATCATATGTTAAATACAAAGAAATATCATTAATTGTGCTTTGTTGAGTAGCGAGTGTTGTTTTAGTTTTTTAAATAAGATTGGAAAATGTAGATTTCAAAATTGATTTTCTTTTAGATGAAGAGATTTGTGTCGGAGAGGGGACGCGTTGTCATATTGTGCATGAAACTCATTAAATAATGCATAAAATATATCACTAACTCATTGTATTCTTTTTTCGGATCAATTGGCTTGTCGTCATACATTGACATTGGACCAAAAAAAGCAGCATAATAATAATTCAAACATTCTTCTAAAGAACCAAGTTTAAAATGAGGATCGAGAACAAATGCAATATCATAAATATGCGGAATATGTGAATAATATTTTAAAAACTTTTCATTCATAAAACTAGCAAAATAACTCACATAATCGGCACTCTCAAAATTTGTAAAAGCACCGGCGAGATTAACAGCTTCACGAATAAATTGGTTTGAGAAAAGTTTATAAACATGACTAAAGGTTCAGTTGCCGATCTCAGTCGAGTTTATAATATAGTTATTACATTGTTTCATAAAAGCAGGAAAATGTTGTTTATATCTAAGAAAAATTGTAATTAACTTATAAGTACTATTCCAACGAATAGACAAATCTTTAGGAAAAGCTACATATTTTTCATCTCTTTCAATCAAATAATCATGCCATTTTTTTCTAAATTGACCATTACCCCAAATACGTCTAATCTCCCCCCTTGACTACCTCCAAAGATACTCCTAACGCTTTTAGACCATCTTGCACATATAAATTAATAACATGACATGCACATCGTTGATGAAAAATCTACTCATCAAAGAAGTAGAATCACACAATTCACGCAATCTAGGAATAGCAGCAGTATTCTTAGTAGCATTATCAAAACCAATAGCAAACACCTTATCAATTAAATTATACTCAATTAAAATACGCTCAATCAAAATATAAATATGTTCAGCGGTGTGACAATCATTAAATTCACGAAAAGCGAGAACACATTTATGCATATTCCAATCATTATCAATATAATGTACAGTCAAACCGAAATAATGTAAATTATGATAAGTATCCTCCCATATGTCAGAACATACAGTAACACGCCCATCAAAGTTTGCAAAACAATTTTGTAACCTTACCTTTTCCGCACCATAAAGTCTTGAAATTTCTTTCTTAACCGTTTTGCGACTATAACCTCTATATTGAGGATTTAAACAAGTTTGTGCATAATCACGAAAAGCAAGACTTTCACAAAACAAATAAGGCAAAATTTCTTCAACAAGTAAGTTAGCCATACCTGTCAAATTTTGTGCATCATTGTATGAGAAATTACCAAAAGGTTATTAGTTATTTGCAAAACTCGATATTTGAGTTCGCTTCCCCATTCCGCCGCCTAATTTTGCATACTCCACCGGGTGTTTGGCCTTAAGATGCCTTGTGGCGGATCCGTATCCGCCGGAAATTCCCAAACTATAATTTTTCTTGCACCACTTGCAAGTTGCGTTCCAATTCCCGGTGTTCGGGTCCTTCCACTTATCAAAATTATTTTGCATTAGTTCAGATCTGCTTTTTTCGTACCTGTTTGGGATGAGGCAGGCTCATCGGCGTCGTGGCTGCCGCCACCCTCCTCCGCGTCGCCGTCGTGGCTCTCCGGAATTACTTCCTCCACATCGTCGTCCTCGAGCTCTTCTTCATCCATGGTCCTCGACTGGTCTTGGAAAACCGACTATTATGTCGGTGCAATTCTTGTTCAAGTTGTTCGTCGGTCATGGCATCCCAATCCCTCCTTGCATAACCTGTATCAAAATCATCTCGGCTTTGAGATGAAGAGCCAATATGTGATTTACCTTTGCGTTATTTCTTCCTCGCAAGCTCGTTCGTTTGGTTGCGCTCGAGGTTACCCATATCAACCGAATGTCTACCACGTTCCATCTTAAAAATGTAACAAAAAACAATTCGAACTAATGAAATAAAATTCTAACAATTCTAACTTTAATGAAATAAAATTCTAACAATTCTAACTAAGTAGATATAAATTGTAATATGTATGTATTTAGTAGATATAAGTAGATAATAAGTAGAGATTAAGTAGATAAAAAATATAAGTAATATAATATATGTATTTATAAATAGATAATTAATATATAACTATATAAGTAGATAAGAAATATACGTAATATAAATTATAATATATGTATTTCTAAGTAGATAAATAATACGTAAGGAATAATTGTAATTAGATTTTGATGATGTTAGATTAATTAGGACTTTAGAGTACCCCTTTGGAAATTATGTATTAGAATTTTCCTTTGTAAAGTTCTTAGAAATAATCGACTTGACAGAAGACCTTCAAGAGCAGAAGGGCTTCAAGAGCAGAAGGACTTCAAGAGCAGAAGACCCTCTTAAGGCATTATTGAAACAGAGGACCTCTGGTTCTCTGCTCCAGAACAGAAGTCCTCAGGATCTCTGTTAGTCTTGACTCTGACAGAAACCCTTCTGGGTCTCTGTTGGATATTCTCTCAACAGAAGTGCTCCAGACCTCCTCTGTTCTACTCTCAGATAAAGACACCAGAAGGTCTGACACTTAGAAGAATTTCAAAGAACCGGGAAGTCAACTAAAAGATTCCTTCAACGGCTAGGAGTATGAAACGGAAAAGCTACAGTGCACGCATTAAATGCTCATTTAATGCACCCCATGCTACGTAGAGTAATTGCAGATGATTGGCCGCAATGTTAGGAATACTTTATCCCAAAATAGTAACCCGCCAACTTTATCGGGCTCTACTAGTCAAGTCAACTGATCGCGCATTAAATGCAGTTGTCCTCCTACTCCTCCAACGGGAAGACAACTTCAGTATAAAAGATACACTACGAAGAACAACCGGATAACTTTGCCAAGAAAACTTTGCAACTTTTGCTAACCATTGCTACAAACAAGATATTCAAACTCTGAAAAGCAAAAAGCCTCCTTGAGATTCAAACTCAATATCTTCTACAAGAGAGGGCAGAAGTTGGAAAAATACTCTTTCCAACTCAAGCAAAGTTCCAAGTGTTCTTCAACTCTTCAAGCTCATCACATACAAATCTTTTGTAACGAAGCTAGTTGGAGGAGCCCCAGTTTCAACAGAAACTCTTCTTGCTACAAGAAGGACGTCCAAGTAACTGGAGTAGTGAAGTGGTGATACTTCAAGGAAACTCAGTGAAAGGACCAGTGTTAAAGGAAGCCAAGCAGTGCATCCCAGGACACATCTAGGCTTGAAGAAGACGTGGAGTGCTTCTTAAGTACTAGGACTAAGGCTTTGTAAACGGCAGTTTTTACAGTTTAGTGGAACAGTGGATTAGAGGAACGAGTTGTTCCTTGAACCACTATAAAAATCCCTGGTGTCGTTTACTTACTGCTTTTAATACTTGCACTTAGATAGAACTGTCTAACTCCCTGGACTTGGTATCTGTGTTCAGCAGAACTTGTTCTACGAGTTAACAGAAGGCCTACTGCCTTTGCTTCTCTGAGGCTAACAGAACTCCCTGCCAGAACCCCATCCGCTGCCAGTCTGTTCTTTCAACCCCATCCTCTAGACTGTATCCCATATAACCGGGACCAACAAGTGGTATCAGAGCCTCCTTGTTCTAATAATCTCTTAGGTTATTTGTTGAACAAAGATCCACTTGTTTTTCTGTTTAACCTCATTTCTATCTGATATAATGGATCACTCCTTGTCCAAGAATCTTATGTTTTCAGATCTTAAGTTTGATGACTGGAGGATCCGGATGAAAGCACATCTTTGTGCCCTACATGATGAGATGTGGGAATTTCTAGACATTGGCCCCTTCACAAGCTTCTAGAAGGTCAATCCTGAGCATGCCATAGACAACACCAGACCCCAGATGATCAGTAAAGCCAAGTCAGAATGGACCACTGAATAGAGGAGAAAGTACAACCTAGACAACATTGCTAAGGACATCCT